CCTGCCTCCTGTGATAATTAATCCCGGTTGGGCTTCCAGTCCGCTACGTTTCCTGCTACCGGCACTATTGTCACATTGCAGTTGCGTATTTAATGTGGCGCTGCACTCTGATGTTGTAGGAGCGAACATTCATTGACAAGTCTATTTAACTGGCACAGCAAAAACTGACACCTTGATTCAAGGCGTCGTGTCTGCAATAACCACAACAATAACCACAACAATAACCACAACAATAACCACAACAATAACCACAACAATAACCACAACAATAACCACAACAATAACCACAACAATAACCACAACAATAACCACAACAATAACCACAACAATAACCACAACAATAACCACAACAATAACCACAACAATAACCACAACAATAACCACAACAATAACCACAACAATAACCTCAACAATAACCTCAACAATAACCACAACAATAACCACAACAATAACCACAACAATAACCACAACAATAACCTCAACAATAACCACAACAATAACCACAACAATAACCACAACAATAACCACAACAATAACCACAACAATAACCACAACAATAACCACAACAATAACCACAACAATAACCACAACAATAACCACAACACAAGCAGTCAAGATGCAAACAAGAAGAGACAACTCTGATAATAATATTGGCACTGTCCTTGAATTTGATTGGTCCACACCAGAGACGGCTTTTCTTAGAGCCTAAGCCGTCTCTGGTGTGGACCAATCAAATTCAAGGACAGTGCCAATATTATTATCAGAGTTGTCTATTTTTGTTTACATTTTGACTGCTTGTGTTGTGGTTATTGCAAACACGATGCCTTGATATAGTAATAGGTTTTACCCTTTTAACTGGCACAAAAACTGACACCTTTATTCAAGGCATCGTGTTTGCAATAACCACAACACAAGCAGTCAAAATGTAAACAAAAGAGACAACTCTGATAATAATATTGGCACTGTCCTTGAATTTGATTGGTCCACACCCGAGACGGCTTTTCTTAGAGCCCTTTAGTCTCCACTGGTGTTAGACCAGAAGACGCCAAAAGGCGTACAACTCAAAAACAGCGCACCATCAGAGTATTGAGGGCTCGGGGTGAGAATTTACATTATGAGACCTCGTTTGCCAGTAACAGTCAAAAGGGTAAAACCTATTCCTATATATCTTGTTTATGGCAAAGGAGGTCTCATAATGTAAATGCTCACCCCGAGCCCTCAATACTCTGATAGTGCGCTGTTTTTGAGCTGTACGTCTTTTGGCGTCTTCTGGTCCAACACCAGTGGAGAGACTAAAGGGCTCTAAGAAAAGCCGTCTCTGGTGTGGACCAATCAAATTCAAGGACAGTGCCAATATTATTATCAGAGTTGTCTATTTTGTTTGCATTTTGACTGCTTGTGTTGTGGTTATTGCAAACACGATGCCTTGATATAGTAATAGGTTTTACCCTTTTAACTGGCACAAAAACTGACACCTTTATTCAAGGCGTCGTGTTTGCAATAACCACAACACAAGCAGTCAAAATGCAAACAAAAAGAGACAATTCTGACAATAATATTATTGGCATTGTCCTTGAATTTGATTGGTCCACACCCGAGACGGCTTTTCCTAGAGCCCTTTAGTCTCCATTGGTGTTGGACCAGAAGACGCCATAAGGCGTACAACTCAAAAACAGCGCCACCATCAGAAACGCTCAGCGGACTAATAATGAGAGACTATGGCACATCCAGGGCAAATCCATGGCTGAATGAGTGGGTGGGTGAGCGAGTCAGTGAAAGAGTGGGTGGGTGAGTGACTGAGTGGGTGGGTGAGTGAGTGGGTGGGTGAGCGAGTCAGTGAAAGAGTGAGTGGGTGAGTGACTGAGTGGGTGGGTGACTGAGTGGGTGGGTGAGCGAGTCAGTGAAAGAGTGAGTGGGTGAGTGACTGAGTGGGTGGGTGACTGAGTGGGTGGGTGAGCGAGTCAGTGAAAGAGTGAGTGGGTGAGTGACTGAGTGGGTGGGTGACTGAGTGGGTGGGTGAGCGAGTCAGTGAAAGAGTGGGTGGGTGAGTGACTGAAAGGGTGGGTGACTGAGTGGGTGGGTGAGCGAGTCAGTGAAAGAGTGGGTGGGTGAGTGACCGAGTGGGTGAGCGAGTGGGTGAGTGAATGAGTGGGTGACTGAGTGGGTGACCGAGTGGGTGAGTGACTGAGTGGGTGACCGAGTGGGTGAGTGACTGAGTGGGTGAGTGACTGAGTGGGTGACTGAGTGGGTGACCGAGTGGGTGAATGACTGAGTGGGTGAACGAGTGGGTGAGCGAGTGGGTGAGCGACCGAGTGGGTGAGCGACCGAGTGGGTGACTGACTGAGTGACTGAGTGGGTGACTGAGTGGGTGAGTGACTGAGTGGGTGAGTGACTGAGTGGGTGATTGAGTGGGTGAGTGACTGAGTGGGTGAGAAACAATCACAGAAGCCCAACAGCACCAATAGAATTCTCCATCACTCTTTTATTTTCTTAGAAAAGCCAAAAACACCAAGCAAGGTGGAACGTCTTCACCGCAGGGTCCTGGGTGACTCCGCAAAGACAAGGGAGATGTTGACTACCTCGCCTGGTATGCAGGAGGTCGTGGGTTTGATGTTGACTACCTCGCCTGGTGTACAGGAGGTCATGGGTTCAATGTTGAGATGTTGACTACCTCGCCTGGTGTACAGGAGGTCGTGGGTTCAATGTTGACTACCTCGACTGGTGTACAGGAGGTCGTGGGTTCAATGCTGAGATGTTGACTACCTCGCCTGGTGTACAGGAGGTCGTGGGTTCAATGCTGAGATGTTGACTACCTCGCCTGGTATACAGGCAGTCGTGGGTTCTATGTTGAGATGTTGACTACCTCGCCTGGTATACAGGCAGTCGTGGGTTCCATGTTGCGATGTTGACTACCTCGCCTGGGGTACAGGAGGTCGTGGGTTCCATCCCAGACCCTGCTGCTGCTGCTGCTGTGTATTTTGAGTCTGCGTCTCTCTCCCCGTGGTGGTCGCTGCGTGGATTTTATCACTCCGGGTCCTCCGGTTTTCCCCTCTCACGTTTAGAATCACGAGTTCAGAGTCTTTGTCTGCTGCTATCAATGACCACGTGATGGTGATGACAATGATGATGATATCAGTCACGTGGTGATGATGACGATATCAGTCACGTGATGAAGATGATGATATCAGTCACGTGGTGATGATGACGATATCAGTCACGTGATGCAGATGATGATATCAGTCACGTGGTGATGATGCCGATATCAGTCACGTGATGAAGATGATGATATCAGTCACGTGGTGATGATGACGATATCAGTCACGTGGTGAAGATGATGATATCGCTTCTGATAAAATATCTACACAGCAGCTGAGTGGGATCTTACACCTGGTGACATTAACTTAGTTTAGTTTTAGTGTGGGGCTCTGTGAGTCTCTGTGGGTCTCTGTGGGTGTCTATGGGTCTCTGTGGGTCTCTGTGGGTCTCTATGGGTCTCTATGGGTCTCTATGAGTATGGGTCTCTGTGGGTCTGTGTGGGTCTCTATGAGTATGGGTCTCTGAGTATGGGTCTCTGAGTATGGGTCTCTATGAGTATGGGTCTATGAGTATGGGTCTCTATGAGTATGGGTCTCTATGAGTATGGGTCTCTATGAGTATGGGTTTGTATAGGTCTCTATGGGTCTCTGAGTATGGGTCTCTGTGAGTATGGGTCTCTATGAGTGTGGGTCTCTGAGTATGGGTTTGTATAGGTCTCTATGGGTCTCTGAGTATGGGTCTCTGAGTATGGGTCTCTATGAGTATGGGTCTCTATGAGTGTGGGTCTCTATGAGTGTGGGTCTCTATGAGTATGGGTCTATGAGTATGGGTCTCTAGGAGTATGGGTCTCTATGAGTATGGGTCTCTATGAGTATGGGTCTCTATGAGTATGGGTTTGTATAGGTCTCTATGGGTCTCTGAGTATGGGTCTCTGTGAGTATGGGTCTCTGTGAGTATGGGTCTCTATGAGTATGGGTCTCTGTGTATGGGTCTCTATGAGTATGGGTCTCTGTGGGTCTGTGTGGGTCTCTATGAGTATGGGTTTGTATAGGTCTCTATGGGTCTCTGAGTATGGGTCTATCTGGGTGTCTACGCATCTCTGTGGGTCTCTATGGGTCTGTTGGTCTATGTGGGTCTCTACGAGACTCTCCATGTATCTCTGCGCTATCAATGTCCACGTTATGATGATGATGATGATATCAGACACTCGGTAGAGCCGCTATCACTAGTGATGGCCCAGCTCGCGTCTGATTAAATATCAACACAGTAGCTCAGTGTGGGACTACTCACACAGAGACCCACAGACTACTCACAGAGACCCACAGACTACTCACACAGAGACCCACAGACTACTCACAGAGACCCACAGACTACTCACACAGAGACCCACAGACTACTCAGAGACCCATAGATTACTCACAGAGACCCATAGATTACTCACACAGAGACCCATAGACTACTCACACAGAGACCCATAGACTACTCACAGAGACCCACAGACTACTCACACAGAGACCCACAGACTACTCACACAGACCCATGGACTCCTCCCACAGAGACCCATAGACTACTCATAGAGACCCATAGATTACTCACAGAGAGACCCATAGACTACTCACACAGAGACTCACACAGAGACCCACAGACTACTCACACAGAGACCCACAGACTAAAGAGACCCACAGACTCCTCACACAGAGACCCATAGACTACTCACACAGAGACCCATAGACTACTCACACAGAGACCCATAGACTCCTCCCACAAAGACCCATAGACTACTCCCACAGAGACCCATAGACTCCTCACACAGAGACCCATAGACTCCTCACACAGAGACCCATAGACTACTCACACAGAGACCCATAGACTACCCCCACCACCACCGCCACCACCTCCACCACCACCACCACCACCACCCCCACCACCACCCCCACCACCACCACCACCACCGCCACCACCATCAGTAGGCCCACCACCACCACCACCACCGCCACCACCATCAGTAGGCCCACATCCCGCGGGGCGGTGCCGGAGCCCCGACTCTGCCCGGCAGGGTGATAGCGACATCAAGGAAGTCGCCGATCTGAAACTTCTGGGAGCTGAGCGTCATGGAGTCATACGGGCCCTTCCTGCCGGACACGGTGGAGCCGATTTCCTTCACGCTGTCACGGTGAGAGACACACACACAGGGTGAGACACACACAGAGACACACACAGACAGAGTGAGACACACAGAGACACACACACACACACAGGGTGAGACACACACTGGGTGAGACACACACACAGAGACACACACACAGACACAGAGTGAGACACACACACAGAGACACACACACACACACACAGGGTGAGACACACACAGGGTGAGACACACACAGACACAGAGTGAGACACACACTGGGTGAGACACAGACACAGACACAGGGTGAGACACACACAGAGTGAGACACACACAGAGTGAGACACACAGAGTGAGACACACACACAGAGAGACACACACAGACACAGAGTCAGACACACACAGAGACACACACACAGACACAGGGTGAGACACAGGGTGAGACACAGGGTGAGACACAGGGTGAGACACAGGGTGAGACACACACACAGACACAGGGTGAAACACACACAGAGTGAGACACACACAGAGTGAGACACACAGAGTGAGACACACACAGAGTGAGACACAGGGTGAGACACACACACAGACACAGAGTCAGACACACACAGAGACACACACACAGACACAGGGTGAGACACAGGGTGAGACACAGGGTGAGACACACGGTGAGACACAGGGTGAGACACAGGGTGAGACACACACAGACACAGGGTGAGACACACACACACAGACACAGGGTGAGACACAGGGTGAGACACACACAGACACAGGGTGAGACACACACACACAGACACAGGGTGAGACACAGGGTGAGACACACACAGACACAGGGTGAGACACAGGGTGAGGCACAGGGTGAGACACACAGACACAGGGTGAGACACAGGGTGAGACACACACAGAGTGAGACACACACAGAGTGAGACACACACAGAGTGAGACACACACAGAGTGAGACACACACAGAGACACACACAGAGTGAGACACACACAGAGTGAGACACAGGGTGAGACACAGAGTGAGACACACACAGACAGAGTGAGACACACACACAGTGAGACACACACAGAGTGAGACACACACAGAGACACACACAGAGTGAGACACACAGAGTGAGACACACACAGAGTGAGACACACACAGAGTGAGACACACACAGAGTGAGACACACACAGACAGTGAGACACACACACAGAGTGAGACACACACAGAGTGAGACACACACAGAGTGAGACACAGAGTGAGACACACACAGAGAGACACACACAGAGAGACACACACAGAGAGACACACACACAGAGTGAGACACACACAGAGTGAGACACAGGGTGAGACACAGAGTGAGACACACACACACAGTGAGACACACAGACAGAGTGAGACACACACAGAGTGAGACACACACACAGTGAGACACACACAGAGTGAGACACACACACAGTGAGACACACACAGAGTGAGACACACACAGAGTGAGACACACACAGAGTGAGACACACACAGAGTGAGACACACACAGAGTGAGACACAAACACAGAGTGAGACACACACAGAGACACACACACAGAGTGAGACACCCACAGAGTGAGACACACACACACAAAGACACACACAGAGTGAGACACAGGGTGAGACACACACACAGTGAGACACACACACAGAGACACACACAGAGTGAGACACACACACAGAGACACACACAGAGTGAGACACAGAGTGAGACACACACAGAGTGAGACACACACAGAGTGAGACACACACAGACACACAGTGAGACACACACACAGTGAGACACACACAGAGTGAGACACACACAGAGTGAGACACACACAGAGTGAGACACACACACAGTGAGACACACAGACAGAGTGAGACACACAGAGTGAGACACACAGACAGAGTGAGACACACAGAGTGAGACACAGGGTTAGACACACACAGAGTGAGACACACAAACAGAGTGAGACACACACACGGTTGATGATGATGATGGTGATGATGGTGATGATGATGGTGATGATGCTGCTGATGGTGATGATGCTGGTGATGGTGATGGTGATGATGATGCTGGTGATGATGATGATGCTGGTGATGATGCTGGTGATGATGATGATGCTGGTGATGATGATGCTGGTGATGATGCTGGTGATGATGATGATGCTGGTGATGATGATGCTGGTGATGATGATGATGATGATGCTGGTGATGATGATGATGATGCTGGTGATGATGATGATGATGGTGATGATGATGGTAGTGATGATGATGATGCTGGTGATGATGATGCTGGTGATGATGATGCTGGTGATGATGATGCTGGTGATGATGATGCTGGTGATGATGATGATGATGCTGGTGATGATGATGATGATGATGCTGGTGATGATGATGGTGATGATGATGGTAGTGATGATGATGATGATGCTGGTGATGATGATGCTGATGATGATGATGCTGGTGATGATGATGCTGGTGATGACGATGATGCTGGTGATGATGATGATGATGCTGGTGATGATGATGGTGATGATGGTGATGATGCTGGTGATGATGATGCTGGTGATGATGATGATGATGATGCTGGTGATGATGATGCTGATGATGATGATGGTGATGATGATGCTGGTGATGATGATGATGCTGGTGATGCTGGTGATGATGATGATGCTGGTGATAATGATGATGATGATGCTGGTGATGATGATGCTGGTGATGATGATGATGATGGTGATGATGGTGATGATGATGCTGGTGATGATGATGATGATGCTGGTGATGATGGTGATGATGATGCTGGTGATGATGATGATGGTGATGATGATGCTGGTGATGATGATGATGGTGATGATGATGCTGGTGATGATGATGATGCTGATGGCGATGATGGTGATGATGGTGGTGATGATGGTGATGATGATGGTAGTGATGATGATGCTGGTGATGATGATGGTGATGATGATGGTAGTGATAATGCTGGTGATGATGATGCTGATGATGGTGATGATGATGCTGATGATGATGATGCTGGTGATGATGATGGTGATGCTGGTGATGATGATGCTGGTGATGATGATGATGGTGATGATGATGGTGATGCTGGTGATGATGATGCTGGTGATGATGATGATGGTGATGATGTTTCACCGGTAGCCCTGTCTCTTGGGGTCTGGGTAAACTATGGCGAAGCTGAAGTGAGTTCCCTTGCGGCGAGTCTCCGGGTTCACCTCCTTCACCAGGCCGGTGAGTTCACGTAGCGTGGCGTCCAGCCTGCAACAACAACAACCACAACCACCACAACATCAACAACAACAAAATCAACAACAACAACCACAACACCAACCACCACAACATCAACAACAACATTAACAACAACATCACCAACAACCACAACAACATCACCAACAACCACAACAACATCAACAACAACATCACCAACAACCACCACAACAACATCACCAACAACCACCACAACAACATCACCAACAACCACCACAACAACAACCACAACAACATCACCAACAACAACCACAACATCAACAACAACATCAACAACAACAACATCAACAACCACAACAACAACAACATCAACAACATCAACAACAACCACCACAACATCAACAACCACCACCACAACATCAACATCCACAACAACACCCACACTTACACCAACAACAACACCAACAACAACATCAACAACAACCACCACCACAACAACAACATCAACAACAACCACAACAACATCAACAACATCAACAACAATAACCACCACCACAACATCAACATCCACAACAACACCTACACCTACACCAACAACAACACCAACAAGACCAACAACAACACCAACAACAACCACCACCACAACAATAACAACATCAACAACAACAACCACCACCACAACAATAACAACATCAACAACAACAACCACCACCACAACAACAACATTAACAACAACAATAACCACCATCAACAACATCAACAACAACAACATTAACAACAACCACCACAACAACAACAATAACCACCACCACAACATCAACAACAACAATAACAACCACCACAACATCAACAACAATAACCACACTGTCCACACACACTGTCCACACACACTGTCCACACACACTGTCCACACACACTGTCCCTCCACACTGTCCACACACACTGTCCACACACACTGTCCACACACACTGTCCACACACACACTGTCCACACACACACTGTCCACACACACACTGTCCCTCCACACTGTCCACACACACTGTCCACACACACACTGTCCACACACACACTGTCCACACACACACTGTCCACACACACACACTGTCCACACACACTGTCCCTCCACACTGTCCACACACACTGTCCACACACACACTGTCCACACACACACTGTCCACACACACACACTGTCCACACACACTGTCCCTCCACACTGTCCACACACACTGTCCACACACACACTGTCCACACACACACTGTCCACACACACACTGTCCACACACACACTGTCCACACACACACTGTCCACACACACACTGTCCACACACACACTGTCCCTCCACACTGCCCAGTACCCAGTGCCCACTGCCCAGTACCCAGTGCCCAGTACCCCTCCACACTGCCCCTCCACACTGCCCCTCCACACTGCCCCTCCACACTGCCCCTCCACACTGCCCCTCCACACTGCCCCTCCACACTGCCCACTGCCCCTCCACACTGCCCACTCCCCAGTGCCCAGTGCCCACCAGGTGTAGATTTGGAGCTCGGCAGGCGGTGTGCCGCCCCGGGTGAAGTCTTCCGAGCGGTGATGGCGCCCCGTGTCAGACGTGAAGACGCGCAGCAGCAGCGGGCACGTCTAGCACACACACACACACAGTTACACACTGTTACACACTTACACACACACAGTTATACACACAGTTATACACTGTTACACTGTTACACTCACACACACACACAGTTACACACACTGTTATATACACTTATACACTGTTACACACACACACTTACACACACACACAGTTACACACAGTTATTACACACTGTTATACACTGTTACACTTACACAGTCATACACACACTGTTATATACACTGTTATATACACTTATACACTGTTATATACACACACACACAGTTACACACACACTGTTATATACACTGTTATATACACTTATACACTGTTATATACACACACACACAGTTACACACACTGTTATATACACTTATACACTGTTATATACACACACACACAGTTACACACACACTGTTATATACACTGTTATATACACTTATACACTGTTATATACACACACACACAGTTACACACACTGTTATATACACACTCATACACTGTTATATACACTTATACACTGTTACACACACACACTTACACACACACACAGTTACACACACTGTTATACACACTGTTATATACACTGTTATATACACTGTTACACACACACACAGTTACACACACACACAGTTACACACACTGTTATATACACGTATACACTGTTACACACACACACTTACACACACACACAGTTACACACACTGTTACACACACTGTTATATACACTGTTATATACACTGTTACACACACACACAGTTACACACACACACAGTTACACACACACACAGTTACACACACTGTTATATACACTTATACACTGTTACACACACACACTTACACACACACACAGTTACACACAGTTATACACACTGTTACACACACTGTTATATACACTGTTACACACACACACACAGTTACACACTGTTACATACACTGTTACACACACAGTTACACACACACACAGTTACACACTGTTATACACACTGTTACACACTTACACACAGTTACACACTGTTATACACACACACAGTTACACACTTACACAGTTACACACTGTTACACATACATAGTTACACACACAGTCACACACTGTTACACACACACTTATACACTTACACACACTTATACACTTACACACAGTTACACACTGTTACACACAGTTACAGACTGTTACACACAGTTACACACACACACAGTTACACACACACACAGTTACACACACACACAGTTACACACACACAGTTACACACTGTTACACACACACACACAGTTACACTTACACACTTACACACACACAGTTACACAGTTACACACACCGTTACACACACAGCTACACACACACAGTTACACACAGTTACATACACACACAGTTACACACACAGTTACACACGCAGTTACACATATAGTTACACAACAACAACGACCGCCATTCGCCACTAAGTGGCGGTGACGTCACCACGACGCTTGTGCCAGGCTATGTGCACCCTGAGGCCACGTGAAGTGTTGAACGCTCGCTGGCAGGTCACGGGGCAGACCCAGGTGCCATGGGTCGACTGACTAAGATGACTGGCTGATGCACCACCTGTGCCCCCTACTGTGCCAACCTGCTGTGCTTTAGCCACCCGGCGCTCCGCTCGTTGTTGTGAGCGTCGCTCCTCCGCCCTCCGTTGTTGTTGGAGGGCGACTACCTCCAACTGCCCAGTAGCGTCCTTCACGAGCCTCCTCCACAGAGGCCGATCTTGACACCGCTGGTACTGGTCATCGGCAAGTCCACTCAGCTCCACGTCCTCCTGTACCACATCACTCCATCTCTTCTCTAGCCCGTGCCGCGCCCGTTTAGCCCCCTCGATCCGGCCGAACAAAAGCTGTTTCAGCATGCGGTGGCTGGGCATGCGGGCTACATGACCCAACCATCGCAGCCTTGCCCGCCGGAGGAGCTCACCGATGGGACCTTGCCCAGATCTTTCAAGGATTTGTGAGCTCCTCACACAATCCAGTCTGGTTAAACCCAGGATGGATCGTAGGCAGGCCAGCCTAAATGTTTCTAACCGGCGAAGATGTTCCATTAGGGGGGTCCACGTTTCGCAAGCGTAGAGAAGGGAGGGAGTGACTGTGGCCGAGAAGACCTGAAGCTTAGTGCGGAGCGACAGACCAGGTAGCTTCCACACAGCGTTACGCAACCGATGAAAAGATATTGCCGCTCGACTGATTCGGAGTGAGACCTCTGCTGTTAAACTGGAGCCGGTCATAAGCACACTTCCCAGGTATGGGAAACTCTCCACTCTCTCCACAACTGCCCCATCACCGATTGGGAGTTGTGGGGGTGGAGTGTCCGATGGTACAAAATACCCAGGCAGGTGCTTAGTTTTGGTGGGGCTGATGGTAAGGCCCCACCTCTTAGTGGCACGCTCCAGTCTCAGCAGCAGCGTCTCCAACTCTTCCTCTGAATGAGCAGCTATTACCAAATCATCGGCATACATAACGTGGTTGAGCAATAGGGAGCCATCCCTTGACCGCACCCGGGCATCGATCAGCCTCCCATTATATCTGTACCATATGGAGATTCCCCCGGTACAGCTATTGAAGGCTTCACGAACTACGTGGTCAAAAGAGATGTTAAATAATGTGGGAGCCAGAGGACATCCCTGTCGCACCCCAAGGTGTACAGGGAATGGCTCTGACTCCCGGCCACGTAGTTTTACCCGGGCCCGCTCACCATCATGAAGGTCCTTAATGATCGTGAGCAGAGGGTCAGGGACTCCGAAAGCACGAAGAACAACCCAGAGCCCAGGCCTACTGATGGTATCATAGGCCTTGACCAGGTCAATAAAGCAGAGATGTAGGTCTTGCTGGAATTCCCTACACCTCTGCTGTAGCAGACGGACATAAAATATGGCATCTGTGCAGGACCGCCCTTTCCTGAAACCGCATTGGGGCTCCGCAAGCCTCTCCTCAGCGTGCCTGGCGATGCGATGTTGAAAAATCCTTGCCAGGACCTTTCCCGGCACACTTAGGAGTGAGATGCCCCTGTAGTTGTTACAGACACACACAGACACCTACACACAAAACAAAGATCCTCCGTGTAGCCTGCAACGGACTGTAGGGGCAAGTGCTGTTAGTGGTAGCTACCTACACAGACAAAGATCCCCCGTGTAGCCTCTAACAGACTGTAGGGGCAAGTGCTGTTAGTAGTAGCTACCTACACAGACAAAGATCCTCCGTGTAGCCTGCAACGGACTGAGGGGCAAGTGCTGTTAGTAGTAGCTACCTACACAGACAAAGATCCCCCGTGTAGCCTCTAACAGGCTGTAGGGGCAAGTGCTGTTAGTAGTAGCTACCTACACAGACAAAGTTCCCCCGTGTAGCCTCTAGCAGGCTGTAGGGGCAAGTGCTGTTAGTAGTAGCTACCTACACAGACAAAGATCCCCCGTGTAGCCTCTAACAGACTGTAGGGGCAAGTGCTGTTAGTAGTAGCTACCTACACAGACAAAGATCCCCCGTTTAGCCTCTAACAGGCTGTAGGGGCAAGTGCAGTTAGTAGTAGCTACCTACACAGACAAAGATCCCCTTGGGTAGCCTCTAGCAGACTGTAGGGGCAAGTGCTGTTAGTAGTAGCTACCTACACAGACAAAGATCCCCCGTGTAGCTTCTAGCAGGCTGTAGGGGCAAGTGCTGTTAGTAGTAGCTACCTACACAGACAAAGATCCCCCGTGTAGCCTCTAACAGACTGTAGGGGCAAGTGCTGTTAGTAGTAGCTACCTACACAGACAAAGATCCCCCGTGTAGCCTCTAACAGGCTGTAGGGGCAAGTGCTGTTAGTAGTAGCTACCTACACAGACAAAGATCCCCCGTGTAGCCTCTAACAGGCTGTAGGGGCAAGTGCTGTTAGTAGTAGCTACCTACACAGACAAAGATCCCCCGTGTAGCCTCTAACAGACTGTAGGGGCAAGTGCTGTTAGTAGTAGCTACCTACACAGACAAAGATCCCCCGTGTAGCCTCTAACAGGCTGTAGGGGCAAGTGCTGTTAGTAGTAGCTACCTACACAGACAAAGCTCCCCCGTGTAGCCTGTTAACAGACTGCAGGGGCAAGTGCTGTTAGTAGTAGCTACCTACAGACAAAGATCCCCCGTGTAGCCTCTAGGAGGCTGTAGGGGCAAGTGCTGTTAGCGAGCAGCAGCAGCTGTGAAGGCTAGCGGCACTGTGGCACACACGAGGGGGTGGGTGGCCAGCAACCACGCCCGGCCGCCTTTGTCTCTCCCCCCCCCCACCCCCAGCGCTAGCAATGTTCACTACCACCACCACCGCGACACCGGGTAAGTCATTTGAGGCTGAGTGTACCTAGGGGGTGGCCGGGGCCACCTCTGTCGCACTCCCCTGCCAGCGTGGGTTCGATGGTGAGATGTTAACTCCCTTGCCTGTGATACAGTAGGTCGCGATGATGATGACGACGCTGATGATAGTGATGCTATCAGCCACGTGGTTGAGCCGCTGTCAGTCGTGATCCGCCAGCTCGTTTACCTGATTGGGGGGGGCGCCCTCTGTAGGCACGTGGACTTTTAAAACCCACCCCCAACCGAACCCACCGCCGAATCCTATAGAACGGCCGATGTTCAATCCATGGTCTCTGTGGGTCTCTATGAGTATGGGTCTCTGTGGGTCTCTGTGGGTCTCTATGAGTATGGGTCTCTGTGGGTCTCTATGAGTATGGGTCTCTGTGGGTCTCTGTGGGTCTCTATGAGTATGGGTCTCTGTGGGTCTCTATGAGTATGGGTCTCTGTGGGTCTCTATGGGTCTGTGTGGGTATTTATGAGTAATGGTCTCTGTGGGTCTCTATGAGTATGGGTCTCTGTGGGTCTCTATGAGTGTGGGTCTCTGTGGGTCTCTATGAGTATGGGTCTCTGTGGGTCTGTGTGGGTCTGTATGGGTCTCTATGAGTATGGGTCTCTTTGGGTCTGTGTGGGTCTCTGTGGGTCTCTGTGGGTCTGTGTGGGTCTCTGTGGGTCTGTGTGGGTCTCTGTGGGTCTCTGTGAGTATGGGTCTCTGTGGGTCTCTATGAGTATGGGTCTCTGTGGGTCTGTGTGGGTCTCTGTGGGTCTGTGTGGGTCTCTGTGTGGGTCTGTATGGGTCTCGAGTAGGGGTCTCTATGGGTCTCTGTGGGTCTCTGTGTGGGTCTCTGTGGGTCTCTATGGGGGTCTGTGGGTCTCTGTGTGGGTCTCGAGTAGGGGTCTCTATGGGTCTCTATGTTGGTCTGTGTGGGTCTCTGTGGGTCTCTGTGTGGGTCTCTATGGGTCTGTGTGGGTCTCTATGAGTAGGGGTCTCTATGGGTCTCTGTGTGGGTCTCTGTGGGTCTCTGTGTGGGTCTCTGTGGGTCTCTATGGGTCTCTGTGGGTCTCTGTGGGTCTCTATGGGTCTCTATGGGTCTGTGTGGGTCTCTGTGGGTCTTTATGAGTAATGGTCTCTGTGGGTCTCTATGAGTATGGGTCTCTGTGGGTCTCTGTGAGTATGGGTCTCTGTGGGTCTCTGTGGGTCTGTGTGGGTCTCTGTGTGGGTCTCTATGGGTCTCTGTGGGTCTGTGTGGGTCTGTGTGTGGGTCTCTGTGGGTCTGTGTGGGTCTCTGTGGGTCTGTGTGGGTCTCTGTGGGTCTCTGTGGGTCTCTGTGGGTCTCTGTGGGTCTCTGTGTGGGTCTGTATGGGTCTCGAGTAGGAGTCTCTATGGGTCTCTGTGGGTCTCTGTGGGTCTCTGTGTGGGTCTCTATGGGTCTCTATGGGGGTCTGTGGGTCTCTGTGTGGGTCTCGAGTAGGGGTCTCTATGGGTCTCTATGGGTCTCTGTGGGTCTCTATGGGTCTGTGTGGGTCTCTGTGTGGGTCTCTATGGGTCTCTGTGTGGGTCTCTATGGGTCTGTGTGGGTCTCTATGAGTAGGGGTCTCTATGGGTCTCTGTGTGGGTCTCTGTGGGTCTCTGTGTGGGTCTCTGTGGGTCTCTATGGGTCTCTGTGGGTCTCTGTGGGTCTCTATGGGTCTGTGTGGGTCTCTGTGGGTCTCTGTGGGTCTGTGTGTGGGTCTCTGTGGGTCTCTGAGTATGGGTCTCTGTGGGTCTGTGTGGGTCTCTATGAGCATGGTTCTCTTTGGGTCTGTGTGGGTCTCTGTGGGTCTGTGTGGGTCTCTGTGGGTCTGTGTGGGTCTCTGTGTGGGTCTCTATGGGTCTCTGTGGGTCTGTGCGGGTCTGTGGGTCTCTGTGTGGGTCTGTGTGGGTCTCGAGTAGGGGTCTCTGTGGGTCTCTATGGGTCTCTATGGGTCTCTGTGAGCCACTTCGCTTGAGCAGCTACTATTTGTGATGGGTCACATTGCTTTAAGACAAAAGAGTTACACGCAGCATCAGCATCAGCAGCAGCTCGCCCGCTACACGTCTAAGTTAACCGCGTGTGCGGTGTGGATTAATGCAGCGACGTTCCTTGAAGAAGCATACAAACAGATTGTTGTTGTAACATCTTAACACCACCCCTGTTATTTTGTATCGTTCTATATTTTTTTTTTACAATTATAACCACGAGGCGGAGGAGGAGGGGGGGGGGTGGTGGTAGGGGGTGAGTCTTCCGAAGTGGGACGGACGCCGGCCGCTAGGAAAGTCCGTAGGCTCCGCGGACGCCCCGGGGTGGCGGTGAAGGCCTCTCGTTACCTTTTCCCTGTCGATGGGTTTCTCGGGGTCCTTGGTGAGGATCTCGCCCTGAATCACCGTCGACTCGAGCGCCATCGGAGGATCCTTGAAGGGAACGGAACGGAACGAAAAGGAACGAAAATGAACGAAATCCGCGCCGGCGAAAACCTCGCGTGGTTGATTCGAGACCCGCGGGTTGGTTCGGTAGCGCGGTGACGTCACCACGCAGACCACGCCCTCTGCGCGGTGACGTCACCACGTCAAGAGGCATCCCAAGCGTCTCCTCCAGTGAACTTTCGAGTGACGTCACCGCGCAGAGGCCGTTGGTCTGCGCGTTGACGTCATCACGTCAAGAGGCGTTCCAAGCGTCTCCGCCGGTGAACTATCGAGTGACGTCACCGCGTAGAGGCCCTTGGTCTGCGCGGTGACGTCATCACGTCAAGAGGCGTCCCAAGCGTCTCCGCCGTTGAACTATCGAATGACGTCACCGGGCAGAGGTCGTTGGTCTGCGGGGTGACGTCATCACGTCAAGAGGCGTCCCAAGCGTCTCCGCCGATGAACTATCGAATGACGTCACCGCGCAGAGGCCGTGGTCTGCGCGGTGACGTCATCACGTCAAGAGGCGTCCCAAGCATCTCCGCCGGTGAACTATCGAGTGACGTCACCGCGCAGAGGCCGTGTTCTGCTCGGTGACGTCATCACGTCAAGAGGCCTCACAAGCGTCTCCGCCGGTGAACTATCGAGTGACGTCACCGCGCAGAGGCCGCTGGTATGCGCGGTGACGTCATCACGTCAAGAGGCGTCCCAAGCGTCTCCGCCGGTGAACTATCGAGTGACGTCACCGCGCAGAGGCCGTGGTCTGTGCGGTGACGTCATCACGTCAAGAGGCGTCCAAAGCATCTCCGCCGGTGAACTATCGAGTGACGTCACCGCGCAGAGGCCGTGTTATGCGCGGTGACGTCATCACGTCAAGAGGCCTCACAAGCGTCTCCGCCGGTGAACTATCGAGTGACGTCACCGCGCAGAGGCCGTTGGTATGCGCGGTGACGTCATCACGTCAAGAGGCGTCCCAAGCGTCTCCGCCGGTAAACTATCGAGTGACGTCACCGCGCAGAGGCCGCTGGTATGCGCGGTGACGTCATCACGTCAAGAGGCGTCCCAAGCGTCTCCGCCGGTGAACTATCGAGTGACGTCACCGCGCAGAGGCCGTGGTCTGTGCGGTGACGTCATCACGTCAAGAGGCGTCCAAAGCATCTCCGCCGGTGAACTATCGAGTGACGTCACCGCGCAGAGGCCGTGTTCTGCGCGGTGACGTCATCACGTCAAGAGGCCTCACAAGCGTCTCCGCCGGTGAACTATCGAGTGACGTCACCGCGCAGAGGCCGTTGGTATGCGCGGTGACGTCATCACGTCAAGAGGCGTCCCAAGCGTCTCCGCCGGTAAACTATCGAGTGACGTCACCGCGCAGAGGCCGATGGTCTGCGCGGTGACGTCATCACGTCAAGAGGCGTCTCAAGCGTCTCCGCCGGTGAACTATCGAGTGACGTCACCGCGCAGAGGCCGTGGTCTGCGCGGTGACGTCATCACGTCAAGAGGCGTCCCAAGCATCTCCGCCGGTGAACTATCGAGTGACGTCACCGCGCAGAGGCCGTGGTCTGCGCGGTGACGTCATCACGTCAAGAGGCGTCCCAAGCGTCTCCGCCGATGAACTATCGAGTGACGTCACCGCGCAGAGGCCGTGGTCTGCGCGGTGACGTCATCACGTCAAGAGGCGTCCCAAGCATCTCCGCCGGTGAACTATCGAGTGACGTCACCGCGCAGAGGCCGTGTTCTGCTCGGTGACGTCATCACGTCAAGAGGCCTCACTAGCGTCTCTGCCGGTGAACTATCGAGTGACGTCACCGCGCAGAGGCCGCTGGTATGCGCGGTGACGTCATCACGTCAAGAGGCGTCCCAAGCGTCTCCGCCGGTGAACTATCGAGTGACGTCCCCGCGCAGAGGCCGTGGTCTGTGCGGTGACGTCATCACGTCAAGAGGCGTCCCAAGCGTCTCCGCCGGTGAAATATCGAGTGACGTCACCGCGCAGAGGCCGTGGTCTGCGCGGTGACGTCATCACGTCAAGAGGCGTCCCAAGCATCTCCGCCGGTGAACTATCGAGTGACGTCACCGCGCAGAGGCCGTTGGTGTTCGCGGTGACGTCATCACGTCAAGAGTCGTCCCAAGCGTCTCCGCCGGTGAACTATCGAGTGACGTCACCGCGCAGAGGCCGTTGGTCTTCGCGTTGACGTCATCACGTCAAGAGGCCTCACAAGCGTCTCCGCCGGTGAACTATCGAGTGACGTCACCGCGCAGAGGCCGTTGGTGTGCGCGGTGACGTCATCACGTCAAGAGGCGTCCCAAGCGTCTCCGCCGGTGAACTATCGAGTGACGTCACCGCGCAGAGGCCGCTGGTATGCGCGGTGACGTCATCACGTCAAGAGGCGTCCCAAGCGTCTCCGCCGGTGAACTATCGAGTGACGTCACCGCGCAGAGGCCGTGGTCTGCGCGGTGACGTCATCACGTCAAGAGGCGTCCCAAGCGTCTCCGCCGGTGAACTATCGAGTGACGTCACCGCGCAGAGGCCGTGTTCTGCGCGGTGACGTCATCACGTCAAGAGGCCTCACAAGCGTCTCCGCCGGTGAACTATCGAGTGACGTCACCGCGCAGAGGCCGTTGGTTTGCGCGTTGACGTCATCACGTCAAGAGGCGTCCCAAGCGTCTCCGCCGGTGAACTATTGAGTGACGTCACCGTGCAGAGGCCGTGGTCTGCGCGGTGACGTCATCACGTCAAGAGGCGTCCCAAGCATCTCCGCCGGTGAACTATCGAGTGACGTCACCGCGCAGATGCCGTGGTCTGCGCGGTGACGTCATCACGTCAAGAGGCGGCCCAAGCGTCTCTGCCGATGAACTATCGAGTGACGTCACCGCGCAGAGGCCGTGGTCTGCGCGGTGACGTCATCACGTCAAGAGGCGTCCCAAGCATCTCCGCCGGTGAACTATCGAGTGACGTCACCGCGCAGAGGCCGTGTTCTGCTCGGTGACGTCATCACGTCAAGAGGCCTCACAAGCGTCTCCGCCGGTGAACTATCGAGTGACGTCACCGCGCAGAGGCCGTTGGTATGCGCGGTGACGTCATCACGTCAAGAGGCGTCCCAAGCGTCTCCGCCGGTGAACTATCGAGTGACGTCACCGCGCAGAGGCCGTTGGTCTGCGCGGTGACGTCATCACGTCAAGAGGCGTCTCAAGCGTCTCCGCCGGTGAAATATCGAGTGACGTCACCGCGCAGAGGCCGTGGTCTGCGCGGTGACGTCATCACGTCAAGAGGCGTCCCAAGCATCTCCGCCGGTGAACTATCGAGTGACGTCACCGCGCAGAGGCCGTTGGTGTTCGCGGTGACGTCATCACGTCAAGAGGCGTCCCAAGCGTCTCCGCCGGTGAAATATCGAGTGACGTCACCGCGCAGAGGCCGTTGGTCTGCGCGGTGACGTCATCACGTCAAGAGGCGTCCCAAGCGTCTCCGCCGGTGAACTATCGAGTGACGTCACCGCGCAGAGGCCGTTGGTGTGCGCGGTGACGTCATCACGTCAAGAGGCGTCCCAAGCGTCTCCGCCGGTGAACTATCGAGTGACGTCACCGCGCAAAGGCCGTTGGTCTGCGCGTTGACGTCATCACGTCAAGAGGCATCCCAAGCGTCTCCGCCGGTGAACTATCGAGTGACGTCACCGCGCAGAGGCCGTTGGTGTGCGCGGTGACGTCATCACGTCAAGAGGCGTCCCAAGCGTCTCCGCCGGTGAACTATCGAGTGACGTCACCGCGCAGAGGCCGTTGGTCTGCGCGTTGACGTCATCACGTCAAGAGGCATCCCAAGCGTCTCCTCCAGTGAACTATCGAGTGACGTCACCGCGCAGAGGCCGTTGGTCTGCGCGTTGACGTCATCACGTCAAGAGGCGTTCCAAGCGTCTCCGCCGGTGAACTATCGAGTGACGTCACCGCGCAGAGGCCGTTGGTCTGCGCGGTGACGTCATCACGTCAAGAGGCGTCCCAAGCGTCTCCGCCGGTGAACTATCGAGTGACGTCACCGCGCAGAGGCCGTTGGTCTGCGCGTTGACGTCATCACGTCAAGAGGCATCCCAAGCGTCTCCGCCGGTGAACTATCGACTGACGTCACCGCGCAGAGGCCGTTGGTCTGCGCGTTGACGTCATCACGTCAAGAGGCGTTCCAAGCGTCTCCGCCGGTGAACTATCGAGTGACGTCACCGCGCAGAGGCCGTTGGTCTGCGCGGTGACGTCATCACGTCAAGAGGCGTCCCAAGCGTCTCCGCCGGTGAAACTATCGAGTGACGTCACCGCGCAGAGGCCGTGGTCTGCGCGGTGACGTCATCACGTCAAGAGGCGTCCCAAGCGTCTCCGCCGGATGAACTATCGAGTGACGTCACCGCGCAGAGGCCGTGGTCTGCGCGGTGACGTCATCACGTCAAGAGGCGTCCCAAGCATCTCCGCCGGTGAACTATCGAGTGACGTCACCGCGCAGAGGCCGTGTTCTGCGCGGTGACGTCATCACGTCAAGAGGCGTCCCAAGCGTCTCCGCCGGTGAACTATCGAGTGACGTCACCGCGCAGAGGCCGTTGGTATGCGCGGTGACGTCATCACGTCAAGAGGCGTCCCAAGCGTCTCCGCCGGTGAACTATCGAGTGACGTCACCGCGCAGAGGCCGTGGTCTGCGCGGTGACGTCATCACGTCAAGAGGCCTCCCAAGCGTCTCCGCCGGTGAACTATCGAGTGACGTCACCGCGCAGAGGCCGTTGGTATGCGCGGTGACGTCATCACGTCAAGAGGCGTCCCAAGCGTCTCCGCCGGTGAACTATCGAGTGACGTCACCGCGCAGAGGCCGTTGGTCTGCGCGGTGACGTCATCACGTCAAGAGGCGTCCCAAGCGTCTCCGCCGGTGAACTATCGAGTGACGTCACCGCGCAGAGGCCGTGTTCTGCGCGGTGACGTCATCACGTCAAGAGGCGTCCCAAGCAATCCGCCGGTGAACTATCGAGTGACGTCACCGCGCAGAGGCCGTTGGTGTGCGCGGTGACGTCATCACGTCAAGAGGCGTCCCAAGCGTCTCCGCCGGTGAACTATCGAGTGACGTCAACGCGCAGAGGCCGTGTTCTGCGCGGTGACGTCATCACGTAAAGAGGCCTCACAAGCGTCTCCGCCG